CACACCAAAGAAGTTTCTCCTCCTGCTCAGGTGGAACCTCCTGGGTTCCAGTTGGTGCCCGCTGCCCCTTGTCCTGTCCCTGGGCACCACTGACCAGAGTCTGGCCCCAGCCTCTTGCCCCCTGGGGGCCCTTTAGCTCTAGCTCAGCCTTGATCAGATCCCCTCTGAGGCTTCTCTTCTGCAGCTCAGCAGCCCCAGGGCTCTCAGCCTGTCCTGGCACAGAGATGCTCCAGGCCCCTCAGGAGCTTTGCAGCCTCCACTGGACTCTCTCCAGTAGCTCCTGGTCTCTCGGGAACTGGGGAGCCCAGCACTGGCCCCAGGACTCCTGAGGTGGCCTCACTGGGGGAGGATAATAGACTGGAATGTGTCACTGTTGAAGAATGTTCTCAAAAAATGACCATCAAAAGGTGTTATGAAGATGGAACAAAAATGGCTTTTTGTATCAATCTTCCCTACCCAACTCTTCAAGAGCCTGTCAGAGCAGTTGGTAGGCATCTGGAAAATCATCACATGCCTTACAGAGGTCTGTTCAGCACTGAGTTTCAAGAAGCCAGGAAAGCAGGTAAGCAGGTTACTTGAGGTTCTAGAAAGGAAGTTTCTGAGCAGATCTGCAGAACAAGTCCACAGGAACTGGTGCTGTTGATAGCTTTTGCCATTTCTACAGTGGCTAAGGACCACAGCTGAACCTTGCTGGTGCTCAAGTACAAAGAGGTGAAGGCATATTTCCCCTTCAGAGAAGAATCACATCAATCTGGTGCCAAGAGACCTCATGAGGTCCAAAAGCTCCCCTCCCACTTCTTGAACTGCTGCTCAGTACCCTCTGCAGAGGACAAGCCCTTTGAGCCACACACCCTTCAGAGACATCACAAGCTGCTCTGGCTTAAGACTCCAGCTATGCTTAGTATACGTGGTTTTGTGTTTCTTCCTCTCTGGCTTTAGAGCATTAGCTGAACTTCCCAGGCACCTCTGCTTGTTTACGTGGCTCTGCCCTCGGCAGCAGAGCCCAAGGTCGTTCCCCACACAGCACATCCACAGCAGCCAGCATTGGACATCTGGTGGGACCTGCTCTTCAGTGACACCCAGCAGGCCACACCTCCTGCCCCAGATGCAGCTCTGCTGCTTCAGGAGATGGATGCTGACAAGGAGTTCTGGTGCTCTAAAAAAACCTGTAACTCTTTTTCTTAGGGATGTGTCCATCCTGGTAGGTAAAATCACAGAAAGCTGCATGGAACCAGCCACAAATTGGAGCCAGGTCCTTGGTAGGCAGAGGGGACATGAAACCTTATCCTATCTCTGAACCAGAGAGAGAACAGGTCAGGAATCCACAGCTCTGCCAGGGAAACGTGCCCAGCTTGACACCATTACCTTGGTGTTTTCTCACTCTGAAGAGTGTGGCCAGCAGATCAAGAGAGGTTCTTCTCCCCCTCTGCTCTGTCCCAGTGAGGCCACCTCAGGAATAGTGTGTCCAGTTCTGGGCTCCCCAGTTCCAGAGAGACCAGGAGCTACTGGAGAGAGTCCAGTGGAGGCTGCAAAGCTGCTGAGGGGCCTGGAGCATCTCTGTACCAGGACAGGCTGAGAGCCCTGGGGCTGCTGAGCTGCAGAAGAGAAGCCTCAGAGGGGATCTGATCAAGGCTGAGCTAGAGCTAAAGGGCCCCCAGGGGGCAAGAGGCTGGGGCCAGACTCTGGTCAGTGGTGCCCAGGGACAGGACAAGGGGCAGCGGGCACCAACTGGAACCCAGGAGGTTCCACCTGAGCAGGAGGAGAAACTTCTTTGGTGTG